TTTTTTTCCTCTCTTTCAAAGAATATGGCTTGCTGGCGCAAGTTTGCTTTGCTGTATTTTTCTGAATATTTTTCTTGGTGGCTGCTGATGAATCTTCAATCATTTATTCCGTTTTATTATTCTATTATTTTGTGGGGTTAAATTCTTTAGGGGGAAATGCAACTGTCCATTCTGATGAGATTTGTAGGCATTATATTCACATCTAGGGTAGTATAGCATGTGCATCTAAAAATTAAAAATCTCTTTTTTGAAATAATAATAATAAGTAATAATGTAATTGCTTAAATATAAATATATTCGCTCAAAAGAGTTTTTTTCTTTTTTATGAATTGGAGTTAAATTTGAAAAAAAAAAAATTGGTCCAATTTTTTGCTATTTGAATTTGATGTAAAAGAATGAGAACGATTATGTGAAATGATAGTTAGATAAAATTATATAAGGAGATGAATAGTGAATTAAAGTTGACTAGTACGTAACACGTGCGATGCACGATACATAGATATTAAATGAGTCATTTTAATAGAGCTTCTTCCGTTAAGGCCTAAAAAACAATATAGTTGGATAATCTATTTCCCAACTATTTTCATCAGCGTTGTTTTGTGGTGAAACGTGAAGCCTAAGACTGTTAGCGTCAGCCCGTAAATTAATTAATATATTATCCCTCTAACACGTTTATACTCATATAAATTTGATTTTAGTGTATATATTTGTTTTTTGATTTATCAAATAATAACAATTTTACTTATTTTTATTTCTCGTATAATACTCAATTATCATTTTATTATAAAATTTGATGTCATATAATCCCACTAATATTATTTATCTCCCCTAATGCCGAAAAATTCTCTTCATCGAATATACAGTCAGCGTACCTAGCTGTAAATTGATCCCCAGTCTTGGGCTCTAGGTATGTGAGAATAGACGGAGATTCATAGCCAATATATATACCTAGATTTCTATGAGGGATCATAGATGTACGCTGTGGTGGTGATATGGGAACATAGACTGCACAACCAATACTCGCAGATGGGAAATGTTAGGTTCTTTACCACGCACTAGTTGTATAGGGGAGTAATCTGTTAGAGGTATGCTGTAAAAGCTGTGTTTTGCAGTTTCTATCAATTCCATTTT